ACATTGGGCAGGCTGGTCTTGAACTCCTGGCTTCAAGTGATTCACCCACCTCGACTTCCCAAATTGCTGGGATTTCAGGTGTGAGCCACCGTGTCTGGCGTAAAATCTATTTAAAGATAAGAGTTATGGCTAGGATGCCTTTCATTCTATCCCCTCATCTGAAAAAAATCACAAATAATGGAAATAGCTCATAAAGCTGTAATTTATTCAATAATTAAAGAAAATATGTTTAGACAATTTTTATAAGTAAATTCTATCCTACGTTCTATGAAGGAACGTGGTTTTACAGTAATGGGCTTATAAAGACTGACATACAATGTCATTGCCAAAGAACTTTAGGAATCATCTGGTACAATTTTTTTACTGAGTTGGAAATAAAACCTGTTAAAATTCACCAGAAAAGAAGTGATGCATTTTTAATTTTTTCTTGCCTAGCTAGAATATGCCATTCCATTAACTGTTTTATCTGATTGCTTACCAATATGAGTATTTCTCATCATATCATCTCTACCTGTCTCAATTTTGCATGGTTGATAAGTCATTTACTATTCAAATTGCTTCATAGTATAACATTTCTGCTTTGCTATCACTAAATTTTCTGAGTATTTGCATATTCACAGGCTTACTTCAGACTGAAGGACAATGCATTGCTGGGGTTACGTGCATAGGCATTGACATTAGGGTTCCTGGACTGCAATCCCAGTTCTGTATTGATCTAGCCCTGTGGTCTTGGACTGGTTACTCAATTACTGTAAACGTAAGTTTCCTCATCTGTAAAATGAGGATAAAAATATAGAACAATTGTGAAGCTTGAGATAACATATGCAACCTGACTAGCAAATTGTAAATTAATAAACTGCAAACAGAAGTAGTAAGACAATTAATAGCAGTAACGGTGACAGCAGAAATAATTTAGGTAGGAAAAAGGTTTCAATGCCCGGTAGAATAATCCCTAATACAACCTCAAGTGCACATATCTTTGATAATAATAGTGACCTGTCAAAATCATTTAATGATGTACTGTATAACTAAATGGAAAATCTTCAGATAATTGTTCATATTTTCTGTATTATAATGACATAAAAGCACAGCGGAGGCAGAAAAGAACCATGCAATTCCATGTGTTTCATGTAAGTTATAGGAGCATAATGATCTCCATTAATCTGCAAGAACTTTTATTTCTAAGGGTTAGGGATATATTGCAGATTTTTAAAAAGAAAGGTAATTAGGAGACATTTATTCAAGATCATTTACTAGGGTCCACTGTGTTAAAGTTACATCGACATCTTTTTCGATCTCAGACCATAGCCTATCTTACCAGTTTTAAATGGGGTTTAAGAAATGGTTCAAGTCAAAATGCTTTGGTTTCAATTCTGGCTTTGCCAATTGCTAGCTGCATGATTTAGGACACATTACTCGATATCTCTGTGTTTCATTTTTCACGTTTGTAAATGGGGATAATACTGGAACCTATTTCATACAAACGAAATGAAAAGTACAAGACAGAAACTGAGACATGCTTAGAATAGCACCTGCACAGAGTAAGCATTTATAAAAGTGTTACCTAAGATTGTTCAATAAAGTTAGTTCTCTAAGGCAAAAGGTGAAGACATTTATAGGGAATGAGAAGGTATTAGATCTAAAACCAATTTTTGTTTTCATTTTTGGAAGTGGTTATCATCATATTCTTTATACTTCACACTTAGACAAAAATCCTTGAAAGTGAATTGAGGTATTAGTGAGTCTGATTTAGAATGGATTTTTCCCCCAGAACAAAAAGAAAATAATTCTAAAGGATTACTCAATAACATAAAGTAAAACCAAGATAATCTACCAAAAGATGTCAATCAGAAAATCAGGAAATCGGAGATATTCTAAAGTTAAGAGGCTGTAAGTCTGAAGCAGAATTTTTAGTCTCAGTACCCATTCATGCATTACCCCCTAGTCACAGAATATTTATGTGGTATATGGCTATCAAAAAAAAAATGGCATTACATTCTTAGCTTCTCTGCACCTAAGTGTGACCACCTGACTAGGTTGTGGCCAGTGGGATAAGTATCATATGGCAGTTACCAGGGACAACTTGAAAAGAAAACTGGCCCTGGGTCTTCCTTCTGTATTCTTCATCTCTCCTCTGCCCTTTGTCTGGAATAAGATACTGGTTGGATCATGGGCAGAAGGGCAGATCCAGGGCTAGTGTGTGTGGTTGTGTTCATGATGCAGTGCACAGATGTAAATGACCCACAGCAACACCCTGGGGAGAAAGGTACTAAATGCTGGATGCAGCCAAGGCCCCTACCAATTGGGAAAGCACAGTAGTAGCTTGGATAACTGGTCTCTAGATTTGTTTTGTGAGAGAATAAAACTTTATATGATTAAGCTCACATGGGTTAGTGTTGTGTGAAGACAACCTTAATTCTAACCCATACAGATAGGAATGTCCAGTTGGACATGTACACGATCATACAGACCCAAGAGGAAACTTGGCTAACCAAAGTACAGATAGCAGCTAAAATAGGAGGATAGGTTATAGGTGTATTTTTAAGTGGGGTTAGGAGGGTGGAATTCAATATAAAGGGCATTATCCATAAAGGGGATAAACAAGACACATGGATTTATTTTCCTTATACTTGCCTAAATTTTCCAAAAATTGTTAATGACTTTGTACTACTTTTATAAGAAGAAGAAAATCAATGTAAATGCACAAATTAAAATGATGCAATAACTAAGAGCATAATTCATCAAACATTTCATTTTTGAGAATCTGTATATTTCCCTGTGAAAATATTATTTACTTCTCAGGTACCCTTTGCTTAACATTTCCTTCCTTCATTCATACTGCACCTGGAATGTTTTTGTCTGCCTAATCCCCACCTCTTATGTCAAATTGCAGGAACCTGGCTTAGCCCTGAAGGTGAGTTTAAATATTAGCTTCTCAATGATATCTTACATTTTGTGGAATAATAGCTTTTTGTCTTCAAGTCTCAGTATAAATCCTGCAGTATGTAATGCGACACTTTTTCCATTTTACTATTGCTCTGAGTAAACCTCTGAAAATATAAAGTTCTCTAGCATATATATTCTTCCTTGTCTTCATACTTTTCTATTCATTAATTTATTCACATGTTCACTTATTGGACAACTGATTATCAAATATCTGTCTATGATATGCCAGTTATAATAGAAAACAAAGGGAGAGATGAAGAAAAATAAAACATGTTTTGTTTATTCAAAGAGTGAGCTGTGCATGGTGGCTGGGCATGGTGGCTCATGCCTGTAATCTCAGCACTTTGGGAGGCTGAGGTGGACAGATCACCTGAGGTTGAGAGTTTGAGACCAGCCTGACCAACATAGAGAAACCCAATCTCTACTAAAAATACAAAATTAGCCAGGCATGGTGGTGCATGCCTGTAATCTCAGCTACTCAGTAGGGTGAGGCAGGAGAATCATTTGAAACTGGGAGGCAGAGGTTGCAGTGAGCCGAGATTACGCCATTGCACTATAGCCTGAGCAACAAGATCAAAACTCCATCTTAAAAAAACAAACAAACAACAACAACAACAACAAAAAAAAAAAAAAAAAAAAAAAAAAAAAGTGAGCTAACCGTAAGAGCAGACAGAGTACCAATGGACAAATTTAATGCCATAATTTCTATGGGAGAGAAATGTATATAATGACAAGGTGACAGAATGTTTAACTCTATTTGAAGAAAGTCAGGAAGGGCATCATAGACTCTTGAATTATTTTTTTTACAAAGACTAATAGGCATTTTTTCCAGGCAAATGAGATAAGTGGATGAAATCTGAAGGAGCGGGGATGATGAACAACATGAGGCCAATAAGAATGAAAATATACTGCAGGAAAGAAAAGTTCATTTCATGTGCTGAAGGCACAGCATGTGAAGAGAGACCTGAGAGGAACTAGGCGCTTTGAATATCACATTTTATCCAGTGCTTGGAACATAGGAACACAGTGTTGACTTAAATGTTGCAGTGACAGTGCTATGTACTACACAGCAGGCACTGTGTACACTGGTTGACTGATCGTGCCATGTGAGATATTCAGGGGACAGTAAGCTTGACTAGGTCACAGAGTTGCAATGCACTGCCTCAATTTTCTCATTTCCTCAGACAAGGACGCTGAGCCAATGTTTAAAGTGATTATGTGACTTTCAGAGGAGAAACAAACTTACTTAGCCTGTGGTAGAAAGCTTGGCTGAATTCAAGAAATGTGGTTGCCCAAATGATATACTGTCATCCTGGTTAAGAAACTTCTGAGAAAACATAGCCTAGTTGCCAAAAATTGGTTTCCTCAGGGGAATACACACACACACACACACACACACACACACACACACACACACACACGTATAGTTTAGTCTAATGGTCAATTTGAAATAAATGAACAGAGTATTAAATGATGATGAGAAAAAAGGTTATAGGATAATCTGAGGAGGATACAATTTAATACCATAAATATAAAAGTATTACTGGTTTTTCAAGGGTATATCTTGAGAAATTAAATTATTAGGTTTAAAAAAGGAGGAAATTACATACTAGATAGAAACTACCACTCCTTTTCTACTTTCAAAATTTTTCTACCTTCTAAAGTCAGGCATTTTTTTAAGTGCCAAGTATCTGTAATAGAATTTTCCTATTTTTATTCTTTTTTTTAAATAGGAAAAGATTTCCAGCTACTCAGGAGGCTGAGGCAGGAGAATCCCTTGAACCTAGAAGGTGGAAGTTGCAGTGAGCTGAGATCCCACCATTGCATTCCAGCCTAGGTGACAGAGCAAGCCTCCATCTCAAAGAACATAAAAAAGAGAAAAAAAAAAAAAAAAAGGGAAGAGATACTATATATTGTGTTTTCTGAATATTTGTTTTGATCTTTCTTCTGATCCATTGCATTCCAGGCAAACCCTCTGGAGCAAACGGGCAAGGAGCAGAATTGATATCACATGCAAATAAGAGTTCAACAAAGACAGTCAGTTGGTTTCATACCTTCAATAGGTTTCGGTACAAAATGTGATGAGGGCTTGGTTTTCTTCACTCTGTTTCCCTTCATAATTTGACCTTCTTTATTGAGTCCCAGAAACCATGCTCGGCCTGATTCTTGCTGGCGGTATAGTGTGGAAGAATAGATCACATAGTAGTTTTCAAACACAGATTCCTTAAATTTGCATTCTGGAGTGAAAACATCCTGTAAAAAAAAAAAAAAAAAAAAAAAGGATACAAAAAAGATAAATGATTTAAAGGTGAATCAGTGAATGCTTAAATCCAGTAAGTTTGAAATTCATGACCTCTGTTAAGAACAAATGAAAGGCAACTACACATAATTTCTATTAGCCTTTGGTTATGAAGATTCATCGTACAAAATCAAAAAAGATGATTTCCTTTCTAGCCAACCTTTACCCCAGAGAACACAACTTGCTCAGGCTTGAAGCTAAGTTAAAAGCATTTAGACCGTGACCAAGTCTGTGCTTCGATCCTAGCAATATGCTTTGTAAACTAAAGTGATTGGGCATTCCTCATTTACTCACCTATAACCTGTTAGTAAGAAACAGAAATTTATCATCGAAATCAAAATCAAATATAACCACAGCAAATACTGGCACACAAGGTGCTTCTGAAGAGACTATTCTGTACACACAAAAATGTATTACACAGCCACAGCTTGTTCAGTAAAATCACCACTTTTCTAATGTTAGTAACTTCTCCTTTAATTTTCTTAAAACATTTTTTTCCTTAGTAATCAAAATCTCAGGTAAAAAGCCCAGGAATGAGCAACAGAAAAAAATTACTATTACACTGAAGAAAATTACTAACAGTATTAGTAATTACTATTGACCTCAGTGAAACACAGAATGAGAATTTTAGTCTCAGAAGAAACCAGAAGATCCTGTACTTCAACTCCAATATTTGTTAAGTGAGAAAACCAAAAGATTATATGATTAATTCAAATATACATTAAAAAAATTACTGAGTCAATGCCAGAGCTCACATTTATTGCTTCATAATCACTGCCTCTTAGGCTCAGCTTTTCTGCCTGAGTCTTGTTTAGTGACTTGTAATGATATTTAAAAATCAATACAATAAAATCATATCCTAAACATGTCAAATGAACAAAATGTATTTTGTGGAAGGAAGACATTTCTCCCCTTCTGAGACAAGCAGAAGAAAAATCATATAGCATCTTCTTTAGGTACAAATAAATAGGAGTCCTATATGTCAGACATATTCACCATAGTCAGCATCATCTTCTCCATGTACTAGAAAATTTTCAATCTGAGGCTCTCATGATTTAATGCAAGCAAACCTGGAGTTAAGTTATTAATGAATATAGGAATAGAGTTAGTTGAAATCATGTCCTTGTAGGTGATACTCCCATGTTAATCTCCTGACCTTATTTGTAGAGAGTGCTCTCTCATTTTTTTTTTTTTCTTTTTTTTTTTCCCCCAGAGATGGGGTCTTGGCTGGGCATGGCGGCTCATGCCTGCAATCCCAGCACTTTGGGAGGTCAAGGTGATTGGATCAGGAGGTCACGAGTTTGAGACTAGCCTGGCCAATATGGTGAAACCCTGACTCTACTTTAAAAAAAAAAAAAGAGAAAGAGAGATGGGATCTTGCTATGTTGCCTAGGCTGACCTCAAACTCCTGGGCCAAGAGGATCCTCCCACATCGACCTCCCAAGTAGCTGGAACTACAGGTGTGTACCACTCCACCCAGCTTGATTTTGAATAGTTCTAACATTATAGACAAAAGAAAATGAGACTAAGAAAATTGGAGTAGGCTGTGGGGGGCGGTAGCTTATGTCTGTAATGCCAGCACTTTGGGAGATTGAGGTAGGCAGATCATTTGAGGTGAGGAGTTTGAGACCAGCCTGGCCAACATGGTAAAAACCTGTCTCTACTCAAAATGCAAAAATTAGCCGGGTGTGGTGGCATGCGCCTATATTCTTAGCTACTAAGAAGGCTGAGGTGGGACGATGGCTTGAACCAGGGATGTGGATGTTGTAGTGAGCAGAGATCCTACCCCACACTCCAGCCTGGGCAACAGAGTAAGATCTATCTCAAAAAAAAAAGAAAAAAAAAATGTCCAAAACAACGCTCCCCAAAGAAAACTGGAGTAGACACGTGGTTGTAGACAGTAAAATAACAATAGTAGCAATAAATGAATATTATGTTTATATCAATCCTGAAATATGATTTTTTAGAGTACTCTCAGTTTTAAGTAAATGAACTACTAACTTAAGAATCAAAGAAACAAATGACCATGACCTATTAGTTCGCGTTCACTATAATGGCTATATTTTTTAAATGGGCATTATAAAGTTTGTGAGGATGTGAAAAAAACTACAACTCACATACATTGCTTGTGGAAATGTACAATGATGCAGAAGCTGTGTAAAACAGGTTGGCAGTTCCTCAAAAGGTTAAACATACAGTTGTCACACAATCCAAAATTTCCACTTTTAGGTATAGTTCTAAGATTAATGAAAACATATGTGCACACAAAACTTGTGCACAAATGTTCACAGTAACATTTTTCATGATGTGAAAACAACCCAAACATCTATCAAGTGATGAATGGATAAATACAGTGTGATATTTCTACAGAATGTAATTGCAATATTTAATTATAAAAAAATAATGAAATGCTGATTTATGTGGCAACATGGAGGAACCTCAATCACATTATATTAAGTGCAAGGAGCTAGACGCAAAAGGCCACATGTTGTATGATTCTATTTATATGAAATATCCAGAATAAGCAAATCCAGATATTGTAAGTAGAGTAGTGGTTATTAAGGATTGGGGAAGGAGGTGGGATGGGTAAGAGTGGAGTGCCTGCTTTGCTGGAGAGATGAAATGTTCTGGGATCAGATACTGGCGATGCCTGAACAACTTTCCCAATACACCAAAAACCACTAAAGCACGAGTACACTTTAAAAACATAAATTACTCAGCTGGGTATTGTGGCTCATGCCTGTAATCCCAGCACTTTGGGAGGCAGAGGCAGGTGGATCATGAGATCAGGAGATCGACACCATCCTGGCCAACATGGTGAAACCCCATCTCTACTAAAATACAAAAACTTAGCCAGGAATGGTGGCACACACCTGTAGTCCCAGCTACTCGGGAAGCTGAGGGAGGAGAATTGCTTGAACCTGAGAGGTAAAGGTCATAGTGAACCAAAATTGCGTGGCTGCACTCCAGCCTGTGTAACAAGAGCAAAACTCAGTGAAAAGAAAAAAAAAAGTAAATTACATGGCATTCAAATGATATTAAAAAAAAAAAAAAAAACACATAAACAAGGTGACTAAAGAAAGTGAGCGAAAGAATGAAACTATTGTACATTCCTTGCCTGGCAGCACAGGGCTACATGATAACCCATGTGAAGGAAAACCAGCTCTTCCAAGGCCTTGTCTCAATATTGTCAGGACAGAGTTTAATTCATTGCCAAGTATATGCATAAAAGTAATTCAGATCCAATTTAGATGATAATGTTAAGTTCTGGTTTTCTTCTAGACTTGAGTTAAAGTATTTTAAAATGCTTAAATTTAGGTATGGATTTTCATTTTCTTTTTAAAAAACAAACTAAAATAATCCCAAAGCTTTTTTTTTTTCTAGATCTAGTCCAATATTAACAAACATAGTATTAACCCTAAGAAACTCTGTAAAGTTCAAGCAATATATTCTATGTATAAGATTTCAGACTTTATAAAAGAGTTAGGGAAAAAATCCTGTTTTGCCTAAGTATATATCATCATATGTGTAGATGGTGATAAAATATTCTTCCTTATGAATGTAAATCACAGAAACATGTAAATTTGAAGACAGAAAGCTGCTTAGTGATAGTACCGTTTGGCACTTTTATTTAACAAGGTAACTGAAGCTCATGATAGTGAAATAATTGTTCCCATTGTCATAGAAAGTTAGAGGCCTATCCAGACCCTATACTAGAACAATGAGCTACTCAATGGTGGTTCTGCACTTCTTCCAGTGCCACACATTGCTTTCCTACTGCATAAGCAATCCTGCTTTTGATGCCAAGCTTGATTTGAGCAAGCCTTAGCCATTATGATAGAAACCATGCCCATCAATGATAGCCTGGATAAAGAAAATGTGGCACATACACACCATGGAATACTATGCAGCCATAAAAATGAGTTCATGTCCTTTGCAGGGACATGGATGAAGCTGGAAACCATCATTCTCAGCAAACCAGCACAAGAATAGGAACCCAAATACTACATGTTCTCACTCATAAGTGGGTGTTCAACAATGAGAACACATGGACACAGGGAGGGGAACATCATACACCAGGTTCTATTGGGGGTTGGGGACTAGGTGAGGGATAGCAGGGGGCTGGGGGGCTAGGAGAGGGATAATGTTGAGAAATAGCTAATGTAGATGACGGGGTGATGGATGCAGCAAACTACCATGGCACATGTATACTTATGTAAGAAATCTGCATGTTCCGCACATGTACCCCGGAACTTAAAATATAATAACAAAGAAACCATATCAGTGATATATAATTACTACAATGTCATTTATACATCAAAAAAAAATAACGCTTTCATTTAATAAATAATGACTCTCGGGTGTCTGTTTCATACTTGTTGAAAATTCCCTCCTGGAACAGTAAAGTCAGAAAGATTGCACAAGAGCTAGATTCCTGGGGTCCTGAGCCAGGAACAGCATTAGGCAGGAACTGGGCTTTGAAGTACTAAATTGACAAATGGGGTATTTCTTATACAGCATCCAGGTCCTAATCAGCAATGAAAAGCCAAGTGGAGTTTTCCATTCAATATAATTCCAGCAGGGCCACGCAAAATCAGACCTTGAAAATGAGGCAGCTATTAATACCTGACAAGGGCAAGACATTTCCGGGTGGAAACAAGGCAGGAGTTTGCTGCAGGCACTTGTGTGGACACAGGCAGACTCCCCTATAAACCGGGAGCTAAACCTTCATGGCACTGAGCCAGCTTCCATAGTCATGCTAAGTAGAAACTTTACAATATAGGAGCAGTTTCGATTTCAATATGGAGTTGGGCATGAAAAAATTTGTATTATATTTGCTATTATCTTTCTTTTTTTGTAGTAAGGAATCGAAGCCCTATGCATCGAGTAAGAAAACCAATCATGGTTTTCCTTCTGGCTCCACATATATTAGCTGTGGGACTTTAGGTAAGTG